GGGTCTAGGGGCGGAGCCTCTCGGACCCGGGCGGATCCGGGTGGGGAGAGTGGCCAGGATCCTATATCACAGAAGGGATGCTATTTTGAAGGCCAGGAAGGGCGACCTGTGGGGGCTACAGAGACTGGAGAATATCAGGGGAAAATGGTAGTATTACCTGACCTGGGGTCCTAAGAAGGTCAAATGTGTAGAGAGACGACACCCATCTAACCTCCCATCCCTTCCCCCCACCCTCATCAATAGGAGTGTGTGGGGGGGGGGCGTGCACCTCTCTCTCCCACTGTCCATGCAGCCCCCCGTCCAGGGGGCCCTGAGCCCAGGAATCCTTCAGAGTGCTGGTACTAAGCATATCCCTACTTGGGGGCCTACTCTTCAGTCCTCTGAATCTCCAGACAAAGAGACTGAGGAAAGTACCAGGAGCATCCCCATCTCCCATGTACATCTGTGCACACACATGCACCCTGCACTAGGGCAGAAACACACAGGCATGTGGGCCTGCAGGTAGGGCCCCTTTCGGATGTGCTCTCATTGGGACAAGTGCACACCCAGTTAAGTGCACATATGCACACACACCCCCTCCCAAGGACAAGACTCCCTGATCTGGTTTGTTTATGCTGTGTGCTATTTCCTAGTCCACCTACTTCTCTGCACTTTCAGATCTTTCCTTTGATTTCACACCAGATCCAGGGCCCACTGCCTGTTACTACTGTCCCCTTCTTTTCCTGGCTAGCTTTCAGGTCAGGTTCTGGGAATTGAAATAATGTCAGGATCTCAGTAGGAGGGTGTGTGTGAGGTTCCTAAAGCTAGACAGCAGGGAGGAGTGGGAAAGCCCAGGCACCACCAGAAATCCAACTCAATACCCATCTATTAAGTGGCTATTGAGTGCCAGCACCATGGTAGGCAGCTAGGATGCAAAGAGATGGGGCCCTGCCCTCAGGAACACTCAGTCTAGTGGCGGAGCCAGACATGTAAACAAGTCACTGGGGTGACTGTGGGACAGAACCCGCCAAGTGCTCTAACAAGCTAACAGGCCCCCAGAGAGGACCAAAAATCATTCCCGCTTGACAAATGGCTGAGCTGCAAATGTCTTCCTTTCTACCCTCGAACCCGTTACACATCCCCTCTCCCCTGCCATAGGCCTCTGCCCTTCTAGATATCTGCTCCTGGAATGCTTTCTGTTTAGGGACACCAGCTCCCTCCCTCCCATCTTAGAACACGGGAAGGATGTTAGGGTACCGGAGGGAGACTCACAGAGGGCCTGGGGTACAGAACGTGGGCTCCCCTCCAAAGGAGGTATGAGGCTAATTGTTTGTGAGGGACACGGAGGTGGATGGGTTAAAGAGGAGTGGCTCCTCCACAATATAGACTGAAGTAAGGGCCCCACCTGTTAAGTGGAAAGGTGATGTCAGTGAGACACCTGGAAGGGGTCTGGGCTGGAGACCTGCCTTCGCTGATGCCTGTCTGTCCTCCCCTGTCTTCCCCATCCACACTTTCTCCGGTTTCATTGCCATCTTTGTGTCTGTCCTTGGACTCTGTTTCTCTGGGTGCTATCCTATCCATCTGTGTCTTTGCCACCTGGGCCTCCTCTCTCCATCTGTGGCGCTGATACCTTTCTGCTTCTTGGGATGTCTGTTTCTTTGCACTTCTTTGTATTGGCATTTGTTCCCTTTTCCTGTCCCCTCACTCTGGGTCACTTCTGTGTTTATCTCTGTTCCTTGACTCCCCTCTCGGTCTTACATGTTCTCTCCACATCCCTGTTGGTCTCTGCCTGTCATCTGATGCTGGTCTCTGCCCCTCCATCCCTGCATCCATCTCTGTTCTGGGTCCTGCCACTGTCTCACTTCCCTCTCATCTCGGCCGCTCTTCCTGTCCCTGTGAGTAGCAGCGTCCTATCCAGCCCTCTTTCACCAAGTCCCTCTGCCGTGAGTCCCACTGGAAGTGCCTGCTGCTCTCCCTGCTCATGTACGGCTGCCTGGGGGCCGTGGCCTGGTGCCACGTCACCACAGTGACCCGCCTCACCTTCAGCAGCGCCTATCAGGGCAACAGCCTCATGTACCATGACAGCCCCTGCTCCAACGGCTATGTCTACATCCCCCTGGCCTTCCTGCTCATGCTGTATGCGGTCTATCTGGTGGAGTGCTGGCACTGCCAAGCCCGCCATGAGCTGCAGCACCGTGTTGATGTAAGCAGTGTTCGGGAGCGTGTGGGCCGAATGCAGCAGGCCACACCTTGCATCTGGTGGAAGGCCATCAGCTACCACTATGTCCGCCGCACCCGCCAGGTCACCCGATACCGCAACGGAGATGCCTACACCACCACCCAGGTGAGGGGCTGGAGGGGAGCACAGGTCAGTCTAGATGGGAGGAGGGTGCACATCTGCTCCCACCCTGCCTGACTGGCCCCAGGGAGTGGAGCAGAGGAAGCAGTGAGCTCTTGTGGGCACTACAACAGGAGGGCAGTAACAACCATAGTAGTAACGGCAAACTAAGTACTTTACAAACATCAACTAATTTATTTAACCCTCATAATAACCAGATGAGGTAGGTAACTATTATCCCCATTTTACAGATGAGGAAACTGAGGCTTAGAGAGGTTAAGTAACTTGCCCAAAGTCAAACACCTAGTATGTGAGGGAGCTGGGATTTGAACCCAGGCAGTCTGGCTCTACAGTCTATTCTGTTTAGTGCTTAATGGTTGGAGACAGCTTCACATGCACACTCTCACAGCATGCCCTCACCTATTTAGTGAGGTGGCTGCTACCAGGTCCTTGCCCAAGGTCAGCAACTTCTAAGTAGCAGTGCTAGACTCAAACCCAGGGCCCTGGATCCTAAGTCCAAGGCTCCCAGAGGTGGGGGTCAGCTGGCAAAAAGGTGGAGGTAGGCATGGGAGACACATGGAGAGCTGTGGTGGTGGGGATGGTCAATGAGCACTTTCTAGACCCTCCAGGATTAGACATATTGAGCGCCCTGGATGAAGAGGAGGAGATTTTCCCAGATGAGGGTGACTTCCTTCTCAGTCTGGGGATTGGTAAACAGAAGAAGCCTGGGACCTTAAGAATCAGGAGGGAGGCTGGCTGATAGCTAAGGTGTGAACAGGGAGACCAGAGACAAAAGGCCTTCGACAGGGAGCTCCTCTGGAGGGCCCATTAGGAAACACACTTGTTAAAGGGAAGACAGGCAGGCAGTGGTGATGAGGGGGCTGTATGGGACAATGGAAACAGAGGCAAAGGGTCAGGCAAGCCAGAGGCCACGGCCTGACCCCCCAAAGGAAGCAGAGTTTAATTAAAATTAGAACACACAGATAGGGATGATTCCTGCCCTCATCTCTAACTCCTGATTAAGATGAGGGCCTCAGTTTCTCTATAGCCAGATGAGAAGATCCTACCAGGCTCCTACCAGCATCAAAATCAGGACAGGCCTAGGGTCTGACCAGGCAACAAGAGCAGCGATGGGGTGGAGGAGGGTGAGCAGACCCAGCGACTCCCGGCTCCTTCCCCAACACCGCAGGTCTATCACGAGCGCGTCAACACGCACGTGGCCGAGGCCGAGTTCGACTACGCGCGCTGCGGCGTTCGCGACGTATCCAAGGCGCTCGTGGGTCTGGAGGGCGCGCCAGCCACGCGGCTGCGCTTCACCAAGTGCTTCAGCTTCGCCAGCGTGGAGGCCGAGAACGCGTATCTGTGCCAGCGCGCGCGCTTCTTCGCCGAGAACGAGGGCCTGGATGACTACATGGAGGCGCGCGAGGGCATGCACCTCAAGAACGTGGACTTCCGCGAGTTCATGGTGGCCTTCCCGGACCCGGCCAGGCCGCCGTGGTACGCCTGCTCCTCGGCCTTCTGGGCTGCGGCGCTGCTGACGCTGTCGTGGCCGCTGCGCGTGCTGGCTGAGTACCGCACGGCCTACGCGCACTACCACGTGGAGAAGCTCTTCGGCCTGGAGGGCCCGGGCTCCGCCAGCAGCGCGGGCGGCGGCCTGAGCCCCAGCGACGAGCTGCTGCCG